AAAAAAAAAGCAATGTGGTTGGAGCTGAGTCATTTATCTCAGGGAAAGAAGACTTCTAGACTCCAAATACATAAGGAACAATTTCAGTGATTTATTTATAGTCAAGAAACATTTATTGAAAGTCTAATATGCAACAAGTAGTGTGCTGAGCATTGAAACAAACACCAAGAGCAGTATTGTCATGGCCCCTGTCCTCCAGAAGCCCCCAGTATAATGAGCAATATAAACCAGTAATGACAATCTGCATTAGGGAAGGTTATGCTGGTTGCTACAACAATGAAAATCCCCCAAATCACAGTGACTTAATATAACAGATGTTTATTTCTTGCGCATGTAACAATATGAGGCAGGTGTTTCTGATCTTGTGGCTTCAATATTTTCAACATTTGGTTTCCAAAGCCACAAAGAACATAAATAACCAATATCAGGAATGAAATAAGAGTTATAATTACAGATTCTACAAACATCAAAAGGATAATAATAAGTAAACATTATGAAAAACTTTATGTCAATGAATTCCACCACTTAGATGACAAGAATAAATTCTCAAAAAAATACATCTTACGAATATAGGCAGTCCTCAGGTTATGAACAAGATAGGTTCTTTAGGTTTATTCTTAAGTAGAATTTGCATGTAAGTTAGAACAGGTACATTTACCTATTACCTGAAATAGCTTCCGTTTGTAAGTATGAGTCATAAATCAGACATTTGTAACTCAGGCACTATTATAATAGCTGCTGTTCATAAGTGTGACTTGTATGTAGGTCAAATGTTTCTAACTAGGGGACTTCCTGTACAGACACAAAATGAAGTAAAATGTTTGAATAGCCCTATAGCTATTATGTAAATTGAATTTATTATTTAAAACCTTCCCACAAAAAAAAAAATGCTAGGCCCATATGGTTACACTGGTGAATTCTACCAAATATTTATGGAGGAAATAATTCTAGTCTTACATAAACTCTTTTAGAAAATAAAGAAGGGAACACTTACCAAGTCCTTTTATGAGACCAGGATAACTTTATTTATTTATTTATTTATTTTTTGAGACAGAGCTTCAAGCTATCCCTCTTGGGTAGAGTGCTGTGGCATCACAGCTCACAGCAACCTCCAACTCCTGGGCTCAAACAAGTCTCCTGCCTCAGCCTCCCAAGTAGCTAGGACCACAGGCACCCACCACAACACCCGGCTATTTTTTGGTTGCAGCCATTGTTGTTATTTGGCGGGCCGGGGCTGGATTTGAACCCACCCCCTTAGGTGTATATGGCTGGCGCCTTAGCCACTTGAGCCACAGGCGCCGAGCCGAGACCAGGATAATTTTAATTCCAAAACTAAATGAAGACATTTTTTTTAAAAAAAGAAAAATTACAAAATTTCTCTGGGCATCATCTTCATTCTGACCATCCAGAAGAAGACTACATATGATTTTATGGGCGAGGTTTTCTCATGGGCCAGGCATGTATGGGATACACTACATCCATTTGCGTTCATTTTGACAGAACTCAGTAGCATGACTACTCTAACAACAAAAGAGGTAAGGAATAACAAGAAGGTAAGTCTCACTATGTGCCCTCAAGAAGAAAAGAAACTAGACTTGGGGATGCTAACATATAATGTGATAAACACTATCTGAGAAATGTGTACAGAGTGCTAGTCCAGCACAAGGAAAGAACTATAACTGAAGAAATGAATGAATGAATGAATGAATGAATCAGCAGTTAATGAATGGGCTAAGTCCTTTTAATATGGCCTCTACCCAGTTTCAAATGTAGTAGTTCCTGTAACCAATAGGAATACAGATTTACAAATCACTAACAGACTCTTTCTGGGGACTTGGCAGCAAGCCTGGCCTAGCATTCAATGTCACAGTTCCAATTCTGTGATAAGTTAGTGGTATTATTCTTCCATAGTCATTTTGCCTACCAACCCCTCCAATTTGCCTGCTCTTTTGTTTCTTTGAGAGTGTGGGAACAGGCGGAAACGGGGAACTCCAGAAATATATTTTAGTTGAATTTTACGCATAACAAACACTGTGTGGTCTCCCTATATACATGAAGAGTTGGTAGCATTTGTTTTAAAAGATGTAAAGCTGTCTCATTTAAATGTGTGCCACATGCCTCCCCCACTTATTAACTCTCTTCCCTTTTTTGTAAATCTGTTTTCCCTTATTTCCATTCCCCATCTTACTATTTTTCTTTCCCCAGCTCCTGACCTACCGCAATATGCTCTGTTGTACTCTAGAGCCAAAGAGAAGGTGCGCCTGCTGGCAGTTTCTGGGTGGGGTTCCTATCCAGATCGCCATTCTCTGAAAATCAAAATGTTTATATTCTACAAACACTAGCCCCACCATTTGAAGAGGAGGTACATTACCACAGTAAGGAGACCTGAAAAACCTGGCAATTTAGCTAAAATGGAGCACCATGACATGTCCCATGTCCTCACATGTCCTACTATCCAAGTGGAACCATGAAGGGTCTTTACTAACTACCTTGAATGGCCCAGCCTGGTGGCAGAAGAATAACCTGTCACCTGCTCCTTAACGTTATACTTCTTCCTATTTCTTCCTAACACACCTGGTGTTTAAAATCAATAGTATTCCATTTGTATTTTACTGCTGTAAATGTGTATTAGGTTCCTCTCTTCAGCTAAAATTTAAGTTCCTCGGGAGCAAGTCAAGTCTAATGCACTTTGGTACGTCTACAGCCTCACACACAGCCTTGCTCCTGACAGGTACTGAACAAATATGTGCTGATTTAATTTAGTTCAAAAAAGGGTACAGTCACTAGTTAAAAAGCACACGTCCCTGCAAAAGATCATATCACAAGGCTTTCATGTCATCAAGTAACTGCATTTGAATGGTGTTTGTTGTTACAGTGTTTAGGTCAGGACTAACAGAGCAAAGACCAAAAGGAAAACTTGGTACTGAGCAGGTGGAGAAAAAGAGGGGGGTGGAGAAAAGGGAACCTCTCCCCATGTGGGAGAAATGGAAAGTTGAGCTACTGTTTACATTGCTTATGGGACTCTCAGAGTTCACAGCACAAATTGTCCCTCAGTGGTGAGATTTACCAGTTGCTCCCTGAAATAGCTTAATTCATGGAAGAATATTGGGTTAGACTGAGCATGAAAAGTTGCTGGAATTCTCATGTGTTGGAGTATAGTAGAAAACCATGCTGGACTGGCCAAAAGAGGCTCAAAGGAGGAACACTGAAGGTGAATCTCAAAGGAATATGATTTGATTACCTGGAAAAGCCAGAGAGAGCTTTTCTGCCTGGGGAAACAGCATAAGCAAAGATAAGGAAGCATGATGGAGTTTGATAAGTCAAGGTCTTGAAGAGAATGGAGCTGCCTTAGACCAAGAAGTTGAGAAAACTGTGGGAAACGTGGTGGGATTGTTATTGTCAGGTCCATTTATGGGGAACTCCAACAGCCAGCCATGAGAGCAGGAAGCCATGACAGCTTCTCATGCTGAGGAAGGCCCTGATGAAAGTGCTATTTGTGAAATATTTCCCCTGTGGGAACATCACTCATTCTTTCCATGCACAGTTTCCTTGGGAGATCAAGAAGTACAGCTTGACATGATCTTTGTGAGCTCAACCTGAGGGCCAGAGACTACCTGACCTCAGACTAACTTACTCCTTACAGTCCAGTGCTATTTTAACTGTCCTCTGCAGTTTAGCCTGTTTATTCATTGCTGGCACAGTGCTTTTCCCCCTTTATTTTACAGTAAGCAAGTTGGTGAAGCCCAGGTTAAAACTTTTCACATAGCATCAGTGTTGAAGAAGATTGTTTAGCTAGTGCCAAACAAATATGAAAGATACTGCGATGTACATATAAAAAGGACAGCTACCCAAAGTACTGATAATCAGAGCTGCATGTGGTGGCTCACACCTGTAATCCCAGCACTTTGGGAGGCTGAGGTGGAAGGATTACTTCAAGCCAGGAGTTCAAGACCAATCTGGGCATCTCAGTGAGACCCCCATCTCCACATACACACACACACACAGACAATTATTTTGAATTAGCCAAGCACGTTGGCATATGCCTGTAGTCCTGGCAATTTGAGAAACTGAAGTAGAGGAATTCAAGGTTATAATGAGTTGTGATCATGCCACTGCACTCCAGCCTAGGTGACAGAGTGAGACTCTGGCTCTAAAAATCATAATGATAATGATAATCACAGAGAAGTGACATCTGGGATCAAAAGCTACAGCCTAAGAAGCTTTATAACTTCTGCCCAAGTTTCTTGAAGCATTTGTTCTTGGAACACAAATACCATGCCGTGAGGAAGCCAAAGCCAAAAGGCCCATTTGGAGAGAAACCCAGGACCTGGTAGACAGCCCCAGCTGAGCGCCAACCTGCCAGCCATGTGAATGAGCGTGGAGGAAGCTTATTCTCCACTCTGTCGGGCCAACCCCGTTGAAGCTGTGTAAAGCAGACACAAGCTTTCCCCACCACGCTCAGCTCAAATGATAGATTTATGAGTGAAAATAAATGATTGCTGTTGTTTTAAGTCGCTAACTGTTGGCAGTATCTTGTT